GTATATATATATATATATATATATATATATATATATATATATATTATTGGATCATATTCGAACGGTGATAAGTCATGATTAATCCATCATTGGTAAGTCTAAGCTAAAAAAAAAAACTTGGATAAGGATGATCTGACAAACTTATGAGTTATTGATTTTTCTAATCCTCAATCGGGATTAAATATTCTTATCAAATAAAATTTAAATATTCTTATCATTTAATGTTGGATTCGTGATATATGTTTAGGCTTAGGAAAGAATTTATACTATCAACAACGATAAAAAAAAAAAAAAAAAAAAAAAGCTTTCAGGAGACAACAAATAATTAAGTTAGTCAATTTAAATGACTTTTAGCTACAATTAATATGAATTTTTTTTACATAAATATTAACATGAGGAATATATGTGAAAATTCTTATTAATTCTAAACGGTAAGAAGTTGGTTGCTAAGATATAAGGAAACCAATTACGGAATTATAATATTTAAGATATAAAAAATTATCAGATAAGACTGAAATATAGATTATTATTTACAAAAATAAGTGAAGGTTCTTATGGGTGTAATGGCAGTCAGATATCAGATGCTGATGTATCGGAACCAGCTGGTCCACACACGTTTCTCACTCGGCAATGCAGCTTTCGGCCCTCAGGTGCCACCTCCACCGTTCTTGTTCTCGCCGCTCACCACCTAATGGTCTCGATTTCTTCTCATTGGAGGAACCCACCCACCCCACCCAGCGTCAGGCCCACGTAGGGCCCACTCATTGAGCGGCGACAAAGGTGTGGGCCCGGGGTTGGCGGGGCAAAGGGGACGAGGCAGAGCCTCCCCAGGATGCCGCCTGCCTGGCCTCGGCGATTTGGACGCTTCGGTACACCGGAGGAGGTCCTTCTTGAGTACGGTAAACCCCATTCGCCTCTCTCCGACCCCATCCCTTTCTTCTGCTCCACTTGCTTTCGTGCATATGCTCACCTCCCCCTACGTTAAGACAATCTCACCCGCCTCCCCACGTTCCAAGATTTGTTCTCTTTGGTGTTCCTTCTTCTCGAGTAAAGATAAATAATAAAAATAATAATCTTATAATCGATGATCAGAATCTTGCTAGATAAAATAGTCGACATGTTCATCTGATTCTTCGTTATGTGGAGTCGAGCGCTTCAATAAATTATTTTAATTTTTATTATTTAATGAGAGTTAAAATTACAATAGGATGTGTTGCTTGTTTAAAATGAATCTTATGAAATTGGACTAATCCAACAGAGATGAGCATGCCAAATAGTAAAGGTTAATTATAAATTATTCTATAGTTAGACCTCTTAGTAGTCTTTAGATTTAAAAATTTTGTATTCGAATCCATATAATTATAAAAGTGAAATATTTTTTACTCTAATATTATCGATTTTACCGATAAAAATATGAAGATAATAAATAAAAAATAATCTTAATATTTTCAGTTAGTAATGATGAACAACGTCAGTAGTGACGAATGACGATGTCGTTGGGGGCCACAAGTGATTGTTGTTGATGAGGAAAACAGCAACGAGAGATGAGAGCCACTTTACATTTATATCAACATCGATGTAATTATTGAACGACGTCGCTCGACATCTATGTTGGTACCAATATAAATACCAAGAGACATTTTCTCCGCTCGACAATTACGTCGACGTTGATGCATATACAAAGAAGATTTTATCTTTTCTTGTCACTCTTATCATTCACAATAGTCACTTACGGCTCTTAAGGACCTCATCGTCCACTATCACCAAGGTCGTCCATTATCATCGATTGAAATATTAAAATTATTTTTTTATTTATTATTTTTATCATAAATAGAATTTATATTTTATTTTATAATTATAAAAAATTTTAATATAAATTTTTTAAGTCGGTAATCGGACTACTAAAAGTTTTAATAATTACATAGATAATTTATAATTAACCCAATTAATAAGCTATGCAACAGGATGGGAAAAAACAAAAAAAAGGAGGTAAGCATACCGGGGAGAGTGACCAAGGTGGGATTCGGCGAATAAAATATAGATCGTAGGGACCGTCCCGAACTTGTCCTTTTATTGGCAATTATTATATTCCCCACCGCGCGTTGCTCGCGTTCGTACGCGTCCGCATTGTCCTTCCCCACATCCCCCTCTCCCACATCCCAATGCTTACCGCACCCCCTTTCTCCCCTTTTTACCCCTCCCACTCGTCCTTCCGGTACGGATTTTATATCACCGTTATTTCATTTATACCCTCGAGTCTCCGCTGATTGCTGACAGATATCACCGGCATTTCTCGGGGTATTTTAGTCAGTTCGGGCTAATATATCGCTCTCCACGGTTCTTGGATTCGAGCACTCACAGGGGCTTTTGGGTAATTTCATCCTGCCATCCTCTTCTTCTTCTTGAACGCCCACCGTTTTCTGTTAGAACTTGCCCCTCTCTCTCTCTCTCTCACGCGCGCTCGCTCGCTCACCTTCTGCTCCTCATCTCCGTCGTGGACCCTTAGGAGATAGAACCCTATCCTTTGTATCCGCTCGTGTCTTCGTTTGGCATGGCGAAGAGCCGCGATCTTTGCCGTAGGATCGACCGCTCCGATGGCTTCGCGACCCTGACCCTCGATCTCTTCTCCGGGTCCCCAAACCCTAACCCTTGCTCGTATTCCAGATCCGCGAAGCGGGTCCGCGTCAGCTGCGCCTCCCCTGCCGCCGCGGCTGCGGAGGAGAACCGGAGCAACCCGTTCGATTCGCTCTCCGAGGAGGTCCTCTTCTTGATCCTGGATCGCCTGGAATCGGACCCACTCGACAAGAAGTCGTTCTCGCTCGTCTGCAGGTCGTTCTACGCCGCCGAGTCACGCCACCGGCGGGCGCTCACGCCGCTCCGGTCCGGCCTCCTCCCGGCGGCCCTCGCCCGCTACCCCTCGGTCTCGCGGCTGGACCTCTCCCTCTGCCCCAGCGTCACCGATGCCGCTCTCGCTTCCGTTGGCGGCGCCCTCCGATCGTCGCTGCGCTCGATCGACCTCTCGAGGTCGAGGGGGTTCTCGTACGCCGGGATCGAGAGCGTCGCCGTGAACTGCGCGGCTCTGGTGGAGATCAACCTCTCCAACGCCACGGATCTGAGCGATGCGGCCGCGGCCGCGATCGGGCGGGCCAGGAATCTGGAGAAGCTGTGGTTGGCGAGGTGTAAGATGGTGACGGATATGGGGATCGGGTGCATCGCGGTCGGCTGCCAGAAGCTGAGGTTGCTCTGCTTGAAATGGTGCTTGGGGATTTCGGATTTGGGGGTCGGTTTGGTGGCTGTAAAATGCAAGCAGCTACGGAGTTTGGATCTCTCCTTCGTGCCGGTACTCTTTTCTCCTAATTTAGCACCATTTTTCTTCATTTTCCGATGCATAAAGTCCAAGAGATTTGCTAATCTGATGGTCTTTCTTTGCTGATCTGTGTGTAACTGATCCAATTGGTCTCACTAGGAAGGAATAGTGTAGATATATTCCTCCAAAACGTTTTTATCTCTATGTATCTATTTCAAACCTCAAGAAGAAAAAAAATAAAAAAAAGAAAGGAAAAAAATGAAAAAAGGCAGACGCTCTGAAATTTAGAGTAATGATCCGATCTATTTAGTTTTGGCCACTTGTAGACATATAGTTCTACCGGGCTTATTGTCAGTCGTATTGGAGAATACTTGTTCTCCTCCAATCACTCTTGCCTTATATGTTCCTATGTGCACTTTTAGAAGAAAACCTAATTCTGATGAATATTTTGTTTGATATTTACCTTTTTGTGCATAGCAGATAACAGAAAAGTGCCTTCCTGCTGTCCTACAATTACCACATCTTGAAGATTTGGCTTTAGTAGGATGCCTGAGTATAGATGATGAAGGTCTCATGTCTGTCAAGCAAGAGTCCAAGTCACTTCAGGTATGCATATCTGTTTTTGTTCTGGATGCCTATACCTAGTGCTGGTGTTGTCAGAAATTGTACAACCAAAAATTTTGTTGCTATAATTGATGTTTAGTGATACAAGATATTTGATGCTTATATTGTTTTCAAGGAATTGGAAAATTGGTCAAATTGACTGGCAGAACATCTTTTGTATCTTATGTTATCAGGGAAAAAGTGTGTAACATACAGGATTGTGTGCTTTTGGATGTTTGTCATGGCCATAACCACTGTTTCTTCATTGTTATTATGGCAACTACTCCCAAGTTCTAAGATGACTACATGAGCATTTTTTTGTGGATGCCTTTTGCCCTATGTGGATCGTATTTTGTGGTTTTGGTGTAGGATTCATTATATACTACCTTAAAAATCATCAACATGTGCAAAATCGAATCTTTCTGCTCAACTGCTCCCATGTTCTAGGATGACTTCATGAGCAATTTTGTTTTTTGTGGATGCCTTTTACCTTATGTGGATCATATTACCTTAAAAACCATCTACATGTGCAAAACTAAATCTTGCTGGTCACTATGTATTGATCCAAATCTGTTTGATATAGGTTCTGGATATGTCAAACTGTCAACATGTCAATCATGCTGGATTTTCTTCCTTATTGAGTAAGACTCCTGAATTACGCGAAATAAGTCTAGCATACTACTGCAAGGTAAAGACTGTTGCTCATGTACTAAATTGTCATCTGAATTAATATTTTGGCTCTCTCTTCCAACTTGTGCTTACAATTTTTTTATTAGTGCAGGTAACACATTCACTTGCTAGCAGCTTACAGAAGCTCTACAATTTGCAGTCTATCAAATTAGATGGTTGTGAGGTCACAACTTCTGGACTGAAAACTATGGCAAATTCTTGCAGATCACTGGGGGAACTTAGTCTGAGCAAGTGTTCAGGAGTGACAGATGAAGGACTTTCTTTTTTCGTGACGAAACACAAGGGACTGGTTAAATTAGATGTCACATGCTGTCGCAATATAACCGATCTCTCGCTGGCCAGCATTACTAGTTCGTGCACTTCTCTTACCAATCTTAGCATGGAATCTTGCATCCTGGTCTCTAGGGAGGGTTTCCGACTGATTGGTCAGCATTGTCATCTCTTGGAGGAACTAGACCTCACTGATAATGACTTGGACGATGAAGGTTTTCCAAGATTGTCTCAACTATGTGAATTTATTAGTTTTTGCTATTCCAGTTGCTCATTATGTTCTTACATGCAGGCCTTAGAGCCATCTCAGGATGTCACAATCTCTCTGTCTTAAAAATTGGCATATGCTTGAAGATCAGTGATGAAGGTCTTATTCATGTTGCAAAAGGTTGTCCAAACCTCCAAGAGCTTGATCTGTACAGGTAAATTAATTTTGGGTAGAACAAACTGCTAGGTCTTCAAACTTTGATTGGAGATTGACATAATGTTGTTAGGTTTTGTGTGCATGCTCTTGATTAGATTAGATTTAACGAATATGAGTTATGCCTTCAGGTCTGTAGGAATAACGGACATCGGTGTTATGGCTATAGCTCGTGGTTGCCCTCTGTTGCAGATAATCAATCTATCATACTGCACAGAAGTAACTGATTATTCGTTAAGATCATTGTCAAAATGCTCGAATTTGAATACACTGGAAATTCGTGGTTGCCAAGTCTCATCTTCAGGACTTGCTGTCGTTGCTGTGGGATGTCGAAAACTCACAAAGCTTGACATCAAGAAATGCTATTTCGTAGATGATGCTGGAATGCTTCTACTTGCTCGCTTCTCCCAGAATTTGCGTCAGGTACTTTGATTTCTGTGCTCTCTATCTTGTGGCTCTTGATAGTTAGATCATTGTGCCTAATCCTGTGATATTATTGTGCCAAATTTTCAGATAAATTTGTCATATTGTTCAGTAACAGATGTGGGGCTTCTGGCACTTGCTAGTGTCAGCTGCCTACAAAACATGACAATTTTACATTCGGGGGGACTTACATCAAATGGCTTGGCCGCTGTTTTGGTGGCATGTGGCGGTCTAACAAAAGTGAAACTCCACTCATCATTTAAACCATTGATTCCAAAGCCTATTCTTGAGCACGTCGAAGCCAGGGGGTGTTTGTTCCAGTGGAGGGACAAACCTTTCCAGGTATGCTCTCTCTCTCTCTCTCTCTCTCTCTCTCTCTCTCGTTGGCCAATGGTACTTCCAAATGTTTGAGTATGTTAATCAGTTTCTTCATTTATATTTGTAGTCACACCCATGAATTCTAGATATGAGTGTTAATGTATACAATTGAAATAATGACAGTAGCACGATGACTTAAGTTGTCTCTTGATATACAATCAGTTATAATATCCAGGATCAACAAATTGTTGTTCATATTATGGTTGTTATTTGTTTAAATTCACATAATGAAGACACGAGTTCAACAATATTTCATCAGGATTAGTTCCCTGAATTTTTACCAAGGATGAATGGCTTATAAATTCTTGTCATGTTATATATTTTTAACTTAGAGAAGCATTGGGTCACTTTGTAACGGATAAGATTATACGGTTGTTTCTGTTTCATTTAATTGACTGATGAGGATTTCTCTTGCCAGGTTGAACTTGAGCCAAGTGAAGTTTGGAAGCAGCAATCACAAGAAATGCATGTGTAGAAAAAAAAAAAAAAATCTCTGATCTCAGGACCGTCTTTGACCAAAAAACACTGAGGATTTCCATGAGTCAGAAGATGATTCAACTAAAGCTGGGAAGTGCAAGTCACAACCACAAATGTAGAGGAAACAGAAAGCTTTGAACCTGTAATGATGTACACTACCGCTGTGAGAGGAAGAGTGCAAAGTTTTCGATGGATGCTTTTGCTCATGTTTTCTTGCTTTTATATCGTCATGAATTGGCAGGTCGACAGGAAACTGAATTGGTAACATCTTGAGGTTGATTCTTGCCATTCGAACAAGCATCTAAAATTGGGAATCGAAACTTTTTGGAATGTTTTGAATTCCTTCAGAGATTACTCCCAGTCTGATTTGAACTGTGCTGATTTTAGTATCATTGTAGTTTGCAGTTAAGAAGTGATGTATATGAAAATGAATTTTTAAGTTATTAAGAAGATTAAGAAGTTACTAAGATTAGAAAAAATATATATTTTTATTTATTGATAATCACGTATAATCAGGTGTAAGTTTTTTTTAAAAAAAGTATTGTAGTTAAAAAGTATGAGACAAGTAATATTAATAATATGAAAAAAAAAAAAAAACAGGGAAAGAAGAAAAGATGCACTAAAAAGTATAAATAAAATTTTAATTTTTGAGCTAATTAGAATAATTCTTTACAGAGATTTCAGACGATAAGATCCCAGTAATTGATCCCTAATTGTTGAGATTTTAGGACTACGATACGATTTCTTGTTTTTGCATGGAATATTGTGTCATACTGTCATTGATGATGTATTCTCAGGTCGCGACTATCTTGGCACCATTAACAACAAATGGGTCAACATTTTTCTCGAAATGTATTCCCTGCAACCGATGCTATACACTTCTAAATATCAAAATTCTTCCAGGAACATTGAAAGACGAGCATCACTTTTTTTCTTAAAGGAGTACAAACAACTTAAGAATCCGTATTCGGAGAATTAAGGGTTCGTTAAGTTGGTGTCAATTTTGATACACTGAGAAACTGCTAGTTGCCAAACACGATAAAAGCATTTAGAGTGCAATTTCCGGCTAACTTGTGTAATAAAATTTGTGGAAAAGCATGGATGCCACTTCAAACAAACATTAAAAAGAGGGCCTCATCAATGTGAATAGCAAAGTAGCAACTCTTCAAATGTAGGCTGTGGTGGCCTGTAACAGATAAAGAATATACAGTTGATATTTCTAAGTCATTCAACTCTGCACATGCACATCAGGTGCTGTGGAAGGGAAACTTGCTTGCAAGTGTTCACCCAGGGATTAATAGGTCACACATACCAGCACAGAAGCTCATTATGCGATAACATATGGGAGCACGGGAAACTAATCAAACAGCTCATTCAGAAGAAACAATGACCCAACAAGACATCTACAGCTTTATAGTTACGGACATATATATTTCCTCGAGTTATTTTAACATAACAATGTTGATCGGAGATGGGATAAGTAGCCTTATACGTCAACATCAGACAATAAAATGTAGCCTTTTTCATTCTTCAATTTTGATGCATTACTTGGAATCCTGACGGACATTGTGCCAAAGGAGCATCACCCTAAAATTATTGAATCATAAGAAACAAAGAGAGCAACGATACATTTGCAGCATTACAGTTAACGACACCTGTTAAAGTCCCATCTCAAGTTGTTTTTAACATAACAACGTTAAAAAGGATTACCACTAATAACAGTCATCACTTTGATTTGAGTCACCGTAACTTAGCATCCACATGTCGCAAAGATGATTAATAGTCATTGAGACCATCCCATGATCTTTACTACTGTGCTTACACTTAAAATTCCAAACAACAAAATTTTCAAACATCAAATTTCCAAGATCCCTCAACTTCTGAACACAAATATTTTTGTTTTGCTTACTGTTTAGTTATTAAGAAAGAATGTGGTTTAATGTCAGATGGTCAAGTCATATGAGGTTCCACCAACAACTCTAGATCGATCAACAAAGTGTCTTGGAGTTTTTCCCCCTTCCATCTGATACATGTCAATTTGTGTTTTGGTGACATAAAAAGCTTATATTCACTTGATTTTACAACCACCACTGCAACATTTCTATTATATGAATAATCCAATTTACTTTTCCCCCAAAGAAATAGAAACCTGGTTCAACAATTCAACTAAAAGATTCACTTTTCTGGTCCAGTTCAAACACCATTCAAAATCATCCAACTTCCTTACCTAAGAAAAAGATGGAAAGCAACACCACATCTTCTAGATCAAAGTTGTTAGCAACCAAATAATGTGTCAAATGAAAAACAAATTACAAACTATATAATATCTCCCATGCTCAAGGGCTTGACATCCTCGTCAAGACCCAAAAACTCAAAATCAAACTCTAGCATGGTGTATATGAAACATAGTTGGCTCCACGTGATGATGTGTCCACTAATCCCATGTTCACAATTAGTCCTTTCCTACTCGAGTTTCTCGATGCTCTGATACTAATTGTAGTAACCTGGCCTGATATGATAACTCACTTGTCAAGTTCGTTGAGCATGAATCACTAATCCAAAATGCTCAAGTCTAAGTTAATAATAGTTTACCTATCAATCTAAGTTTTAACCCACTTTCTATATGAGACTAAATTGGGATGTTACAAAATAAGTTCTAGATCTAACTTCGAGCTAATTATAAATTACCCGTTATAGTTAGCTATCTTTAGCATCCCGGCCTCTAGACTTAGAAAAGTTACATTGCATCCCTATAGTTATGAAAGTGAAACATTTAACTCAATTTCTCCTCATGTCGTCTACTTTACCGACGAAAGATACGGCACATGCTGTCACGTGCAAGAATGACGCAACAAAGAGGGATACAAAAGTTATTTCGCCAATAAAAAGACTGAAATCAATAAATGCTTTAATAAAAGGTCGAAGAGCAAGGTCTTCGTTTTGGCTCCACCATCACTACCCCCTATCTTCCATGACCATCCATACTCCCTCCGCCTTGAAGATGAGGAGGACGACTGGTCAAGGGACAAATCCGATGCCCTCGTCATGGCCACCGCTGATAGCAAAGCTTTGACCCTCGATCTCACCCCTCTTTATTGTGCCCATCACATCCACATGACCCTTTGCCTCGAGGAGTGCTTCCGACGGTACTACTTCAAGAATCACAAACTACAACTCACCTCTGACTTTCAGGTCTCCTCCTTGATTCCCTTCCTCAAGTCACACCCGATCTTCTTCGCGCAGATCGTCGGCTTCTTCATCACCGAGGATTGCATCCTCCGCACAGGTGACGACCTCATCACACGGCCCGATGTTGACGCTCTCTGGGAAATCGCCATATAACCAAGATGGTGTCAGTGCTCGAGGACCAATTCGCCCTCATCAAGGACTATGTTAGCCTCCTCAATGTCACACTCTACCGCTACTGCAACTCGATCGATCCCCTACTTGACGTCCTCTCCGAGCACCGCGATATATACCGTGACCTTCTCCTCTCCGACTAACAAGAGGTAGTGACAGTGGAGCCAAAGCGAAGACCTTGCTCTTCGACCTTTTATTAAAGCATCTATTGATTTTGACTTTTTTATTAGCAAAATTACTTTTTTATCCCTTTTTTTTAATATCATTCCTGCACATGACAGCACGTGTCATATCTTCTGTCAGTAAAGCCGACAACATGAGGAGAAATGAGGTTAAATGTTTTACTTTCATAACCTTTTTAAGTCTAGGAATCAGGATGTTAAAGATGACTAACCATATGGGTAATCTGTAATTAGCCCATATAACTTCATATTCATACTCAGATCGAAAATTTATATGAATCACATTCAGATCTGTGAAAAACAGACCTGCCAATTAGCAGATCCATGCATCAATCATCAATACTGCTGATACATCTAGCACTAATTCATCGAAAGCATAAAACATAACAATGAGTTCCAGATCTAATGGCGACTTCAAGATCCAAAAGCAGCAGTTCATTCAGAGGGATGTAGAATGGTAATGAATCTCCAGATCTAAGTTATCCATCAAAAGAATCGAATGAATAATATATTGTAAGCGAGCACAATTCCAAAATTTAGGATACAGTCTGACCTCTTTCGCTTTGTAATGCGAGAGGATGAAACAAACCCAAACATGAGGGAGAAGATCTAACCGGCACCGATCAAGCCAAAATCCATCAGATCCCACGCATCAGACGCGGCCAGGGGTGGCCGCGGCGGCGGCGGAGGAGGCAGCTCCGCCGAGAAAGGACAAGAGCCCGGTGGCGACGCCGGGTTCCTGCTCGTCGAGGAACAAATCCTCCGGGACGCGGAAGGCCCCGTGGGCGGCGACGATGGCTGTCCCAGCCACCGCGGCGGAGATGATGATGGATCCAACCGAGGTTAGGAAGACGATGAGGAAAGAGAGGAGGACGAGGCCACCGAGGGTCTCGCGATCCGAGAAGGTACGGCCGAAGAGAACGAGGGGTGGGTCGGAGGGGCGGAAGAGGTATAGGTGGCACCAGGCGGCGAGGAGGGCGAGCAGGACCAGGAGGGAGAAGGGGTTGGTGACGAGGGAGACGGCGAGGACGGCGGCGACGACAGCCGCGTAGTTGACGCGAAAGTACGCGAGGTTCTTGCGGAGGCGGGAGGAGGCCTCGGCGAGGGTGTCAGGGCGGGAGAAGGCGGAGCGGTCGGCGAGTTCGGACCATGGACGGCGCTCGGCGAGGGAGCGGCGGACGGAGTCAGAGAGGCGGGAGAGGAAAAATCGGAAGGCGGGGGTGGAGACGGGGGCTGTGGATGCACCGGCGACGGAGGGGGGATCGGAGATGGGGAGGGGAACCGGGGAGGGGGCGGAGGACATCATCGGAGAAAGGAAGACTCTAGAAACAGAGACACTCCTTTTCCTGCCGTTACGGGATGTGGGTGGGGAGGGGATTTTATATGCCGTTTCGACCGGTCCCGCTTGCTTCCTTAAGGACGAACGGTTGTGAGCAGAAAGTGGACTTAGTAACGAACCATGTTGCACGGTCAACGGACTCGAAGAAAAATATTTAAATGTAGCATAAATTGGGTTGGGTATTAGGCTCAATACGACTAATGGGTTCGATTGCACGATGGTCGCTTTATCATTTCTAAATTATCGAACATAAGGTTCGAATAGCAAATGAACAATCTTATCGTTAAATTAAAATCGATTTATTAAAGTTATTAAATTTAATCACATTGAATGAAAATCGAATAGCAAATTGAGATTGATTTAAGTCATAAAAATATTTTTTTGAATTAAAAGATATCATATGATGTGATAGAGAAAATATGATCGATATCACCGTTCAAGAAGGGGCTATGGACCGTCACCCTTGTCCTTCACGTGAATAAGAGTCTAAAAGAGATGGTGGTGTTGTTGTTGACCAGGGAGTCGACACAACTGGATTCAGTCCCGAAAGCACAAGCTCGTCTAAAGGGGTCTATGAGGTGGCTTACGTGAGGAGATCGGGGCAGAAAGTGGATTTGGTTGGTACGATCTTGAGGCATTGCTTATTCGCCAAAAACAAGTTCTGGAGCCATCCTGAAGTGCCTTTAAGCCTTACCGAGATACCTGCATAAGTGGTCAACGTCGAGAGATTTTCCTAACTCAATCCCTCCGATGATTAAGTTAGTAAAAAAATAAAAAATAGTCCAATTACCTCCTTTGAGCGTCGAAGGCTAACTTTTATACTTGAGCCATCGATGACATGAGACCGATGGTGGGTTGGAGTGCCCCGTACGTCATCCTGGGGTTCATTAATGTTGATGATTAACGGGTGCACCTCTCTGTGGGTGACGTCATAGAAGGATGATAGTGAGGGTATCGTTTGTCAGGATTGGGGCCTGTTTGGGACAAGCATGAATAGCCTCCTACACCATGTGTCCAAAAAGGGAGGGAAGGGAAACTAGGTCACATCGTTTGGCATTAATGCCTTTTGCTGCTATGTGTGTGAGCCTACTCGAAAACTGTGGTTTGACGAGGTATGTCAAGTTACTCATAACAGATGATCCAAGGAAGGGGAAAAGAGGGAATGGGTCTCACTATCATAGATTAATACGTTATGTGACGAACTTGTGTGACCCTCAAGGAGATCGAGTTTAATCGAGGCCGACGTATCATACTCCTGCAGATGACTATAAGAAAAAAGCACATGCTCTTTTGACTATATCATTGTCTAAATGGTAGTCTTGATCGGATGAATTGACACTATCATGCTGGCGTTATTACTTTCCCTATCAGATGATGAATTGACACTCTTTCTAGTCAAGATTTGATCAATCTAAAACGGAGCCACTCCATCTAAATTCTGAACCCTGCATAATTGGAAAAGAAACAGTCAATGTCTTAAACCAGTGCATATGAGCAGCCATAAAATTAATCTTTGCACAACCTATAATAGTGTCATAGGCCAACTCTACTTCACTGGCTTATTAATCATCAAAACAAGCTAAAAACTAATAGAAAGTAATAACATTTTATGCAAGATTACTAATTTCACAAATGTGGTATGTTACTGAAACACTTTAAAAAATTAGAATTATAGAATAAAAGTAGGATTTTTGGGCATCCAGAAAAGAATAATAGAATGGGCATTCAAAGAGAGAGACATGCAGGAAGTGGAGTAAAAGAAAAGAAGGAAGAGAGGGGATGATAGACCGATTGGAATATGCTCAATCTAAGCGATGGATTTGATGGCTTTGGAGAGGACCAGGGAGATGTCAATGCCCTCAAACCTCAGGTTCCAGAGAACATATTATCTCTTACCGTTAGTAATTTTTAGTATTTCGATCTTTATATTTTAAAAAATTATATTTATATTTTTATAATTATGAAAGTAAAACATCTAGATTCATTTATCTTAACACAAATAATTTTATCAATAAAAATATAAAAATAAATAATAAAATTATAATTTTACCGTTTTAATTAATGGTAATAGACACAGCATTATTGAGGGTCACATATAACTATTGTGGATGATAAGAATGACAATGAGAGATGAGGATCGCTCTATGTCTATATCGACGTAGTTGCTAAGTAATCCTTTCGCACTCTACGAATACAAGAACAATAGGAGCACCAAACAAGAGAGAGACCCTTTTATAGCATTGGGATTCTAAAAGATGAGTTGATCGAACTGCAACGAATTTATTGATTGGATGTCCTTCGAGAATCCACTTGTGAGCTTCCCCACATCAATTAAGTCTTCACTAAAGAAGGGTGATTCCTGAGAGACACAAATGGCAAGGAAAAGATCTAAGTTAGACAACACAAACCATGGTAGATGGTGACAGCACTTACCCCAGCTTTCCGCAGTGCACCGACACACACAGACAGAGGCAGCAGCATTCATAGGAAGGCCTGCTTGAGACTGCGACATGAAGATGACCTTCTGCCCCATCTGCTATCAACAGGTAACTACGCAGGTGTATGCACACAATACGTAGGCCATGGCGGTGGCGGTGGGACTGGGAAAGTTTGCTTCCCATGGCGACCGATTCCAGGAGGAGGCCCCTCGGGCAAAGCTGTCGAATCCGGGTCGCAGATTACTCTGTCGGGGACTGAGTCGACACCGAGTCAAAGGGCGTGGAATCGGGCCCCGGGGCTCCCGTGACCTCGTCGACGGGACGCACCGCCATGCTCCTCAGGTATTTGGATCAGAACCCACATGGGCAGATCATGTCAGTGCTTGGAGATGAGCATGAACTGTTCGATGACTCGCCTGTTATCGTCTTCCCCCATGAAACCTGTGTTGGTGTGAGTAGTTTCTGAAAGTGCATTATAGATTCTAATCATATTATGATTCCTTAACTTAACAGTTTATCGGAAGAAGTGAGTCTCAAGCCAAGCTATCTCGAGGAGCTCAATTCAAGATACCTAGGCCCATATCACATCGAAAAGAAAGGTCTAGGTCGAGATTCCAAATCGAGGTCTAAGAAGGAAGCTTGACTAGGCGGATTAGCAACTCGCAGGCGACAAGATTCGGAAAGGATGACCAGGCCAGATGAACTTGGAGCCCTCGAATTGACGGCCAAATTTATACTAACACATCTGGTGTTTGCTTCCCTCGAAGGAAGCTTAACGAAGTAATGCTGATGCAGCTTTTCCAGATAACCATTTAGATTAACCTGCCTGCTGCTGGTATTTCAATAGGTTATTCTAGTGGTGGTGAAGTGCAACATGAAGATAGCAAACCCTTGGTCTCCGATCTTCAATTCCACTTTGAAATTTCTAGTAAAGCTTTCACAAGAAGATGCTCCAACTTGAAGAGGAGTTCAAAGTCTGCATTAAGAAAATTAAACTCATCTTGATCTCATCAAGGACTACGACAGCCATATCAACTATAAGTAGGTTGCTCATCTAAAGTCCAAGTAGATAATTAATAGGCCATTAACTCTGCTTCTTTATATAAAGACATGCCCAAAAAAACATTTTTTGAAGTAGTGAGAGAATTGAAGGAGGAAAAACAACTAAGGAAAAGACCTACTTCTACTTTAGACTTCTGTTACTCTCTCAGCTAGGGATGAAGTTTATGTTATTACTGCATTTTATTAGCCTGCACAGTTTATGTTATTACTAGTGTTCTTTCAAGTGAATTAAAAGAACACAAGTAGTAAAACAACATGTTGCATGATAAGCACAGACAACAATTCTATTGAGGTTTTGGAGAGATGAAGTAAAACTAGAGTAGGAAGAAGAGAACCAATCTGTGGGTAACTTCACATGCACCAAAGAACTGCTTGTAGGCTATCACTCTTTTCATTCCAAGACTTGCAGAAGAATCTTGATAGAAGAAACGGTTCTCTCACTGTAGTCCATGTTTAGCCTTCAATGTTTGAATGCAGATCCTTTGATGTCAATCATACTATTCAAGTAAGGCATAGAGCTGAGCTCCACTTAATCCACATTTAGCTTAAATTTTGAATCATGAGTCCTATGCATTTCATGGGAATATGATTTAAACATCAATGGCAATGATTGATATTGCTTTCTGAGAAAAAGAAAAAGAACATTGCTCTTGAGTTACTTGGAAAATTCAAGTCATATTGATGCATACTAGGTTTTGGACTCTTTTATGTTTAGCTGTATTCATGGAATATAATCATTTCTTACCTTGAGATTACTATGCTGCCTTTCCATGTTGCAATTCATCAATTATTTTCAACTTCTGCAGCAAGTTCTCCAAGCTCTGCGCATTTCCAAGGGAGGAGCATCGACTGAATCCTCTTCATTTTATAGCTAGTGAGGTCCAATTCCCCCATTACTTGATCCTCCAGGCTCTTCATCAACCAAAGACAGCATGTATTACTAGAGAATGTTTCATTCTGATCAGAACCTCTAAAGAACTGATGCCAGAGGAATTTAGAACCATGCGAAGCTTCAATTAGCTTCTCCACAGGAGTTGAGCTACAGCATCAACACTTGTCTGTTATCTATTGCAGATGCTGAAAGATGCATAAAACAAAGATTCGTGCTCGTGGTTGATGCGACTGTGAGTTCTAGAAAAGGTGGCATCAGCCAACGAGTGAGATGATAAAGTCGTTTAATTAATAGGACAAGTTGATGATGGTGAAGAAAAGAAGTGTTAGATCTCCCTAGATCTAACCTTTTGATAGCCATCAACATCACCGGCAATTATAAGCAAAGAACACTATCCATTGTCTGGGATAAACTTCCAGCTGCCACTCCAACCAATTCTATATCTGTAGTCCAATACTATATCATGTCTGGTATAAGATCTCAATGGATATCATAAATAAGAGGAAATAAACTTGTAGTAGAAATGTCAGAATATGAGATCGTAGCCATGTATATCACTGGCTTAATCATAGCTCATGCCACACAATGGTTGAAGATATCG